GTTCGTAAGCCTCCACACTCGTGGACTACTCACCCAAACACCCAGCACTGTGTTCCCACACGTTTGCACTGTGTGTCCGTGAGATAAGCGTAGTATTGTCTGAAAGAACACAAAGTTAGAATTCATCGAGAGCTTCTGGAGTAACAAATCAATATATTTTTATAATATAATTAAATAATGTTGACAAAGTGAACATAAAAGATGTCCCGCCTGGTTCCATGTACTTGGGCTGCCTGCCCCAGTTTTATTAGGTGACAGAAAGCTGGTGCCTGCCAAAACACTCCTGTAAGAGGTTAAGAGTTCAGGTTAGGTGTCAGGGGGAGGGGAGCACAGTTTAAATAGGCAGATTACTAGCAAAGGCGGTAATTCGGCTTACAGACAATTCAGGCGATTCAGCTTACAGACCCCCAGAGCCCTGAGCAGAAGCCCCAGGTGGGTGCTTTGATCTCCCTACAGAGGTGATCCTTGAGGTCACCCCCACTGTTCATTGTCTTCCTCTGGCTCTCTCCAGCACAAAGGTTGCTGATCGTACCCAGGAAAGAAGTATACAGATTTTGGCCCTCAAAAACTGGAATAGGACTCTAGCTGTACTTCACAGTCATTGAATGTCAATGATTTTTTTTTTCTTTCAATGTTTTATTATTGGTTGTTGAACATATATACAGCGAACATAAACCAATTCAACAATTTGTACACGTACAATTCAGTGACACTGACTACATTCTTCAAGTTGTGCAATCATTCTCACCCTCCTTTTCCAAACTGTTCCTCTCCCTTTAACAAAAACTCATCACTCCCTAAGCTTCCTGTCTAATCTTTCGAGTTGCTAATTGTCAGTTTGATCCTGTACAGATCGTTCTTTAAAACAGCACAATGCTCAGGGCAGATATTCATTTACTAATTGAGCTAAACTACTGTTTGGTTTAAAGAAGATTTCAGAGGATATTTTTGGTTTAAGGTTCAAAGAGTATCTCAGGGCAATAGTTTCAGGGGTTCATCCAGCCTCAATGGCTCCAAATGTCTGATGCTATGAGCTTTTGAAATTCTGTTCTACATTTTTTCCCTTTTGATCAAGATTCTTCAATAGACCGTCTGATCAAAACGTTCAATAATAGTAGCTGGGCACCATTCAGTTCTTCTGGTCTTATGGCAAGAGGCAGTTGTTCATGCATGAATGCCAATGATCTTCAATATTACTGACCAGGTCAGAAAAAAGAGGCAATCACATGGCGTTTAAAGGCATAGAGCAGCACTGTCCAACAGAAATACAATATGTGTAAAAGCTGCAAGCCACAAATACAATCTAAAATTATCTAGTAGCCACATAAAAAAAAGTAAAAAGAAACAGATAAATTTTAATAAAAATATT